CACACACTACTCTTCCTAATCTCTCTACTTCCATCTCTCTCTCTGCTTTCAAATTCAATCAAATTCAAGTCTAAAGTCTCAGTGTAATTATGAAATCTTATCTTGGAGGGGACTAGTCTCAGTGTAATTATGAAATCTTATTTTGGAGGGGAAAAAGGATTGATAGAGATTTTTACCACCTGTAATCTCTCTACTTCCATCTCTCTCTACTTTCAAATCCAATCAAATTCAAGTCTAAAGTCTTAGTGTAATTATGAAATCTTATCTTGGAGGGGACTAGTCTCAATATAATTATGAAATATTATTTTGGACGGGGAAAAGGATTGATAGAGATTTTTACCACTTGTAATCTCTCTACTTCCATCTCTCTCTCTGCTTTCAAATTCAATCAAATTCAAGTCTAAAGTCCCAGGGTAATTATGAAATCTTATCTTGGAGGGGACTAGTCTCAGTGTAATTATGAAATCTTATTTTGGAGGGGGAAAAGGATTGATAGAGATTTTTACCACATGCAAAAGCAAGGATAAAAACACTTAAAAAGACCCGCAAAAGTACAAGGTTATCATAGTATAACAGCTCAAGCAAGATCGTTTCCACAAGGATTGAATAAATAATTTATGTTTAAACTAATTCTTAATTAACTATTTAAACGTTTCGAAAATGTTGATTTTATGACCTAGAATATTAAAACCGAATTACATTAAAAACAAACAAATAAATTGGCAAAGTAAAGAAAACAAAATAAAATAGTTTTGAAAATAAATTTGAGCACTAAGGTTCCGCCGTCCATTTAACAATCTTATGTAGTTTTACTAATTACTTATGAATTACACATGCAACTTTGAAGGTTAGGTTTTCCTTATGCATATTCTACTTGTGGCATTCAGATCAAATATAAGCATGCATGACTCATCACGCTTTGTGAAAACCCTTTGAAAAACCATGCAACCCCTAAGACGTGGCATTCGCCCTAGGTGAAGTTACAATTATCAATCACAAGAAGCAATACTTAATCCTCAGGTGGCATTCCGACTGAATTGCATCCTAATGGTAGCTAAGCATTAAGATATAAAGACAGTTTAAACATAGTGATTAATAATTCAAAGTATGCATGTATAATATCATAAGCAATTAAATAAAGACCACATTTTCATGCTAAGGCTCAAGGTATCGCCCTAGCAAACGGAAATTAGTTACGAACAACCATAAAACAAAAGCAATTTTATCAAAATAGAAAAATGATAGAAAACACCTTGAAATACAAATCGTCAAAGTCTAGCTCAGTTCTCCAAATTGATGTCTTTGTTCCCCCAAATTGATGCATTATTTCCTAATGGCTAAAAAACCTTATTTATACTACTACAAAATAAAATCCTACTTAGAAAAGATCTTCTAAAAACTAAGAAACATAATAGAATAAGATAACTAGGAAACAAAATGTTTCCTATTTAAACTAAAATTCGGACTTCTCAGAAAATCAGACTTTTGACTGACTGTTTGGACCCAAAATTACATAATCGGCCTGAACGATCGAGGCTATTAAGTGAATGAAGTTCTAAGCCATTAGGTGTTTGAGTCAGGATAATTTTAGTTATTGTTAAGGAATAATGTTGTGATTTTTATCATAATAATTATCTCTTAATAATATGTTGAATTATCTAGAGCACAGTTGGGTGATAAAGTCATGGTGATCTGATACGATGGCGTGTGAATTAATACTAGTGCAATCTCGTGGATAGATGGCATGATTATCATGAATGGAGTTAGGAGTATGGCTGACTATCTTCCATGCATTTATACAATACAATGGAGATAAAGATGAGATTGTATTATCATTGGAATTTGATCAAAGTTAGCTGGCTTAGATAAAGATGATCTGATAACCATTGTTGGTTGATCAACAAGGTGGAGGAAATTGGGTTACTCATCCAGCACAGGGTAACTTGCCTAGATAATTAGCCAATAAAGGTGCTGTTTATTTTATGAACCCATGCACGTGGAAATATGGGATAAAAGATGGCATATGCCATTTTATCCAGTTGTGATTTCACCTGATGGCGCGGTAATTGAGATTGGGATAAAAGATGGTTGTGATTTAATCAAAGATGGTTGGATGTTCACGGCTTGGATTCTACAACACGTCTAAGAGTTTGAGTTGCAATTGAATTCTACAAATACCATCAGGCTGTAGCAGAGACTTCACTATAAATACAAGAGGTCGTGCAACATGGAAGGGACCTCCAATTCAACACACAACTGCCCTGCGTAAAACCTCTCAAACATCTTGAGATTTTTTTATTTTCTTTTTCTGCCGACACATCTTCAGTTTGGATAAACAGCACTGTGAAGGCAATCGGCGAACATCTTCAGTTTGGATAAACAACACTGTTGTCGTAGAATCAGCCGTTCTCGAAGCACCTTCAGTTTGGATAAACAGCACTGCGTCGAGGCCGACTGGTTATCTATCCAAGTCTCGGTCAAGAAGGATTTTCAAATCCTTATTGGCAGAGGTCATCTCATTAGCCTTCTCGGTGAAGTGAGGTGTCACCAGGTTACTACATTCGACACCCTGAGAGCCGAATTTGATATTGAACTTCGTAGAACTAGCAGCCTTGTCTTCAGGCTCGAGAATCCAAAGGCTGAGATTTGTTCCTTCCTCGGTCGCAATCGCAAGATAGAGAAGTCAACAACGCGCTCAACGCGACAACAAATTTTACTCCTCGGCCGAGCTCGGCCGACGAGTTGGCACGCCTCGCATTCAACCGAAGGACGTAGTTAGCTTATTAGTTACTTGGCCTGCGCGCCACGTAGGTTTTGTAATTTTTAGGGTCAACACCGACCAAATCAACTTTGATTTGGTCCCAAAAGATCTCTTTTTAAAGCTTGAGATGTCCCTAACAAATCCTCAAAAGGAATCTTCCTCAAAATATGCCATCTTGACCTCCAAAATACCCAAAACGTCCAAAAACGTCAATTCGGGAAAGCTGCACGTTGGGCCTTTATTTTATCGCCACGGTCAAACGGCTTGATAGAAAATTTTGAAATTTTGATACAATCATATTGAAAGATTCACAAAGGAATCACTCCAAAATTCGTCCGTTTGATCACTTTTTTCTCCAGAGGAAGTCGAATGTCCTACATTGAAATTATATAACAAAATATTAAAATTCTACCAAAATAACCAATAAACTATAACTAAGAATAGGGTAAAATATATGGTATAATATGGACTCATCAAAGATCCTCGCTGGATCCTTTTCCTTGGGATAATAAGGATCTCATGATCGTAACCGTTCATCGTACATCATGCGGTCAGTTTTCGTTAGGTACTATTTATATTTATTTTTAATTTTTAATTTTTGAAATGATTTTTTACCGTACGATGTACCATAAACGGTCACGGTCACGATCACCGTATCCCTATAATCCCTAGGAAAAAAGATCCGGCGAGGATCATTTTGTCTTGGAGGGGACTTTGTCACCTCTAATGTCTGTGTCTAGTAACTTTCTTAGTGGTGAGTGGGCATGATATCGCTTTCAGGGATGTTTCTTCATTGACAAATTCTGTTTACATCCAAAACACGTCTTAAGAAGAGTAGAGGCTGTAAAGTGAGACATTATAGAATGTAGGAGGTAAAGTGAGATTTTATGTAGAGTATAAAGATCAACTAAAAATTAAGACTAAGTTTTGCGATGACTATATTTGAAGTTTGTTGGTTTTCAATTGGATAATGAATGATAATGTTGTTTTTACGTTTTGTTTAATTGAAGCTTTGGTGTTGTTTTGAAATTTAAACTCAAATTCGCATGGTTGTGTTGTGATTGACTCATAAATTAGGGATTAATTATGTGTTAGCAACAATTTTGTATGTGTAACTTTGTGAATGCTACGAGAAAATGACAGCAGCCATTTGTGACTTTGTGTTTGCCTTCGGTCGTGGCGTGGAAGTTTTCGTTCAAGAGAAGACATGATGACTGCCACGAGCAAAGTTGGAAGCAGGTCTTGACCTTGTGGGATTGCATGCAATTGTGTATGCTTTCTCTTGTATCCATTAAAATATGGAAAAGGGAGAAGAGTTGTAAGCTAGGTAGGCTAGGTGTTGAATATGTCATGTGAACTTAAGATTTTGTGGTCTTGGTTGTTGGCATAGGTACTAGTTATAGTGCTAAAAGTGCTTTCAGAAAGAAAAAAAAGAAGATCGGGTAGGATTGCCAATATGAAAGTTTCATTAATTGGTATTGTTTGCCTGCGTTCTTTGGAAAAAAAGGAAAAAAAAAAAACGCTTTTTTGAGAAGCATGTGTAAAGTTGCTTCTGTTTTCAGCTGTTTTAGACCTATGATTTGGAAAAGAAAAAAAAACTTATTTTTTATTTACCAAACACAATTAATGACCCAACTTTTTAAAGAAAGTTGCTTTTAAAAAATTTAAGCAACCCCAAATTAGCGATAATTAAGTTTTCAAAATTATTAATGCTCGTAAAAGTTGAACACAATACCTTTTATTTATAAATAAAAAGACAAATATCACTACACATTACGTGTTACAACTGATTCTTAATAATCTTTAGATGATTGCCCCAAAGAGATAAAACATAAAGTCCACTAGCATTTCCCAAATTTTCTTTTATTTGATAAGTTTGAACTTACGACACCAAACGGAATAACTTTAAATAGAAATAAATGAGATGTGAACAAGAGGGCAGGGCTGAGGATTGACAATTGCACACATTTGGGACCCATACAATTGTACATTGTATATTATAGGAAACAACTATTAGAAGGAGAAGGGTGGGCCCCATACAATTACACGCATTTGGGACAAAGACTTTGACTTATCTTGTACGTACAAAACATTTTGCAAGTTCTGTATCTTTCTTCTCTCCCACCCCCCCTTTTCGGTACGGGTTGAATTGAATTAATTACAATGGCTCATGGATGCCATTATAAATAAGCCTTAGGAGTAGAGTCTAATATGTACACGAAATTAAACACGAGCGGCCATGACATCTTTAGATTTTCATAAACTCTACCTTTTGGCTTATTGCCTTGTCTTATTTGTACAACTTCTTTCACCGCCAAGTTGCTCTGTTTTTGCTTCTGCTACTTCTACCACGGAAGCAGAAGCGCTTCTCAAATGGAAAGCCACCTTTCAAAACCATACCCACCTGCAAAATCTCACCTTGTGGACTTACGTACCCGCTCATACAAAAGCAGCCCCATGCTTCTGGACTGGTATTTTATGCAATGCTGTTGGAAGTGTCAGTGTGATAAACCTTACCAATTTCGGGATACAAGGTACGCTACATGAGTTTTCCTTCTTGTCTTTCCCCAATCTTCAATACCTCGATCTCAGCTACAATAATCTCTTTGATGTCATTCCAGCTCAGATCGGTTCCCTCTCCAAACTCATCTCTCTTGATCTTTCTAACAATTGGCTAAGTGGTTCAATCCCAACATCCCTCGGTGATCTCAAAAACATTACCCTTCTCTATCTCTTCCGTAATAATCTTTCTAGCACAATTCCAAAAGAGATAGGGAATTTGAAATCTCTTGTGGACCTAGAATTGTCTCATAACCAACTCAACGGTTCAATCCCAACATCCCTAGGTCAGCTCACAAGCCTTTCCACTCTCTATCTACATAGTAATAATCTTTCTGGCACTATTCCTAAAGAGATAGGGAATTTGAAATCTCTTGTGCACCTAGCATTGTCTGAGAATCAGCTTAGCGGTTCAATCCCAACATCCCTAGGTCAGCTCACAAACCTTTCCGTTCTCCATCTCTTTAGTAATAATCTTTCTGGCACTATTCCTAAAGAGATAGGGAATTTGAAATCTCTTGTGCACCTAGCATTGTCTGAGAATCAGCTTAGTGGTTCAATCCCAACATCCCTAGGTCAGCTCACAAACCTTTCCTTTCTCCATCTCTTTAGTAATAATCTTTCTGGCACTATTCCTAAAGAGATAGGGAATTTGAAATCTCTTGTGGACCTAGAATTGTCTCATAACCAACTCAACGGTTCAATCCCAACATCCCTAGGTCAGCTCACAAGCCTTTCCACTCTCTATCTACATAGTAATAATCTTTCTGGCACTATTCCTAAAGAGATAGGGAATTTGAAATCTCTTATGCACCTAGGCATGTCTGAGAATCAGCTCATCGGTTCAATCCCAACATCCCTAGGTCAGCTCACAAACCTTTCCATTCTCTATCTAAATAGTAATAATCTTTCTGGCACTATTCCTAAAGAGATAGGGAATTTGAAAAAGTTGGTTGTACTGCACTTGCATAGTAACCAATTAATAGGTTATTTGCCCCAAAATATTTGCTGTAGTGGACAACTCCAAAACCTTTCAGTGATTAATAACCATTTGACAGGTCCAATCCCCAAAAGCTTGAAAACATGCAAGAGCTTAGTTAGAGTTCATCTTGAAGGGAACCAATTCACAGGCAATATATCAAAAGACTTCGGTGTTTATCCAAATCTTGATTTCATAGATATGAGTCATAATAAGTTTTATGGTGAAATTTCGCAAAAATGGGGACAATGCGCACAATTAGAAACCTTACTAATTGTGGGAAACAACCTCACCGGTAGCATACCTGCCGAGATTGTCAATGCTGACAAAATCCATAAACTCGACCTCTCTTCAAATCACTTAGTTGGGGCCATTCCGAAGGAGTTCGGGAGAATGACTTCTTTGCAGAAGTTGATGCTGAATGGAAATCAACTTTCAGGCTGTATACCTTCGGAATTTGGATCACTCGTTGATCTTGAATATCTCGACTTGTCATCAAACGAATTCAATGGGTCAATTGCGAGCACATTCGGCAACTTTCTCAAACTGTACCATCTGAATTTGAGCAACAATCAATTTTCCCAAGGAATTCCATTGAAGTTGGAAAAGTTAGTTCAGTTGAACGACCTTGATTTAAGTCATAACTCACTTGAAGGTAGTATACCCGCTGAAATCAGCAATATGGAGAGTCTACAGACGCTCAATCTTTCTCACAACAATCTTTCGGGTTTCATACCATCAAGTTTTGAAGGCATGCATGGCTTGTCATATGTGGATGTATCTTACAATGAATTGGAAGGTCCCATTCCCAACAATAGAGCATTTCGACAAGCTCTGCCAGAAGCTTTACAAGGGAACAAAGGACTGTGCGGCAACGTTGAAGGTTTGCAATCTTGCACAATTGGCCCAAGAAAGGAACGCAAATGGGTATTTGGAATCACATTCTCCCTTGTAGCAGCAATTTTACTTATTTCTGCTTTCTTTACAATTAAATTCGTAGTGCAAAGAAAGAAGCAAAGTCTAGAAAAAGTAGAAAAAAACTTGCATGAAGAAATATCGTTTTCAGTTTTAAATTTTGATGGAAAGTCAATGTATGAGGAAATCATAAGGGCGACAGAAAATTTTGATTCCACATATCGCATCGGGAGTGGAGCACAAGGAAGTGTCTACAGAGCAACTTTGTCGAGTGACAACATAGTGGCTGTGAAAAAAATACATCAATTGTGGGATGGTGAAAAGAATTTGGAGATGGCATTCTTGAATGAAATAAGGGCACTAACAGAGATAAGACACCGGAATATTGTGAAGCTTTATGGTTTCTGTTCACACCATCAACACTCGTTCTTGGTGTACGAGTTTGTTGAAAGAGGTAGCTTGGCTACAATTTTGAGCAAAGATGAAGAAGCTAAAGAAGTAGGGTGGAGAAAAAGGGTTAATATTGTTGACGGTGTAGCTCATGCCTTGGCATACATGCACCACGATTGCTTGCCACCAATTGTGCACCGGGACATATCAACTAAGAATATTTTGTTGGATTCTAAATATGAGGCCTCTGTTTCAGACTTTGGCACTGCTAAGTTTTTGAATCCAGACTCAACAACTTGGACTGCCGTTGCAGGCACATATGGGTATGTCGCACCAGGTAATATGTTTTCTTCCTTTTAACCTTATTAATTGAGTGTTGTTTATGATTAATTTTTTGGCGAAATTTATTTCTTTTCAACGTTAGGACGGATTAAACATACCATGTTACATGCTTTGATTTTGAAAGAACATTCACCTAACGTATAAGCGATACTTGGGTTTATTGTATGCTCTTATAAGTCAGCACCCTCTTTCCTTAAAGCTAAAACATAAAATAAAAAAAAAAGTAAAAAAAAATAATAATAAAAAAATGGAAAAAAAAAAAACTAATTATAAACATGCGAACTATAGTAACATCTAATTTAATAAGTAATACCAATCGAGATGTTAATGAATTACTAAAAACTATCTAATTAAAACAACATGTAGTAAACATAGAAACTGCAGTAAGAAAACAAATACCATGTAAGATTTACCTCTTTTGCCAAAAAGCCAATCTCTAATACATAACAATGCTTGAACGGTTTCAGGCAATAAACAACTACGATATTGATCGATCACTCTAGCACTAATACTAAATACTGATTCTGAGGTGACAGTAAAAACAAGAATTGTTAATACATCACAACTACGATATTTATGGTTTCTCTCAAGTCTTTCTTCATCAAGATATTTACGTAATTCATATTTTGTACTTAAAATTGAGCCCTTTTTGTAACGTTTATCGAATATCAAGAATAAACATATCGAAGAGAGCCCATGTCTTGTATTCCTCCGATCATATACCAACATACAATATAGATGCATACAAAAAGTACAAAAACACCAACAATAAGCATTAATTTTACCTCAAAAGTTTAGTTTGACCCAAGGTCTGATTCATTGGATTTGAATGATGACAAGGTACCACCAACATTCTTCAACTCCTTCACAGTATTTCTACTTCTACATGAAGTTGAAAGGCAATATGAAAATTTTATAAGCAACTTTTAGCAAGCTAATAGTCCGCACTAATAAGAAATCCCTAAAACCACCACACTAATAAAAATTCTCAAATTTTGAAGAAAAATCACCACACTAACAAGAAATCCCTAAAAGCCAATATTGAACTATAGCTGAAAATCGAAATTAAGCCAAAACGAAACCTTCATTACCCAAATTAAGCTAATAGTCCACTAACCCAACAAGAAAGACAAAGTAAAATCACCTCTAGATGACTGTCATTGATTCAACGCGGAGAGAGCGCGAGCTGCTTCATATTGTTCTAAATTGAGAGAGAGAGAGAGAGAGTGAGAAATCGTTAGAGGACGGAGGGCCAAATGCCGAAGTGAGAGATCGTGAGAGGGGAGGGGGCGGAGTGGCAGAGTAAGATTGTGAGAAAGCAGAGTGAGAGAAGAGGGCAGAGTCGACGGAGCAAGAGAAAGATTGCAGACTGTATCTCTTAGATAGGATTTCGAAAATTACAAAACTAACCCTCTTTAACGGGTGATTTATGATTACGGGTTTTTTGGGATTACTCGAGACCAACTATTTTAATCGAGCTTGTTAAGTCTTTCCCCATTAATTAAAATTTTGCGAGCAAATTGAGTCGGGTTAGTTTATTCAAAATTTTCGCTCTTTATCTTCGGTTTAGTTATTATAATATATACAAACTAATAGTCCCAATATTGCTATGGTCTTATTATGAGCAGAACTTGCATATACTATGAAAGTGAACGAAAAATGCGATGTTTATAGTTTTGGAGTGGTTGCTATGGAAACAATCATGGGAAGGCATCCTGGTGATTTTTTCTCATCATTCTTATCAGTGTCTTCTTCGTCCACGTCATCATCAGCATCAACATTACCATCCCATCAAATGTCAGTTATGGATGTTCTGGACCAACGCATTTTGCCTCCAACGCATCAAGAAGCAGGGGAAGTACTCTCTCTTATGAAGATTGCGTTTTCATGTTTGAATCCCAATCCGCATTCTCGCCCTACAATGAGACGAGTTACTCAACTCATCTCAACTCAGAAGTTGCATTTGCCGAAACCAGTACGTATGATAACCTGTGGTGAATTGCTTGCTTTAGATCCTTTGACGGCCTGAGAAGCAGAGAGTGCTTGTTTCCGATAAATAAATTTCGAGTCTTCCTATGAGAAGAAAGATTCTTCGTAGATGTTTATGTATTGTAATTTATTTTTATGCGCTGGTTTGCTGGGGCTCTAGTCACTTTATGTAGAACGCTTAATGTTTTTCAATTAAAATTGTGTTTATGCCTGTGAGGAAGAAATAGAAGTTAATAAAACAAAGAATTGGTTTTCATGCACAGGGACAATGACTGGCTGAGAATGCAATGGCCACACATATATTACTATTTCTATTTATGTATACGGACAAACGTAAAGTCATAGACAAAAGCAACCAAGAAGTAGACCAAAAGGAATTGGGTTTTGGCCGAAATAGCCTGCGATAGGTCTTCACATGAATCCTTGTGGCAAGGCAGGCTTATCACTCTCTCTACAAGAAATCCCTCGAGGAGGATGTTGGGCATCACACAACTGGGGACTGCTGCATGGTAAAGTTGCTAGAGTATAACTTTTTCAACATATTATATTATATAGGGTAAATTATAGGGTTCTTTAGAAAAAGACCCTTGAAACTCCTATTTTTCAATAAAAAGCCCACCAAATATTAAACATCCAAATAAAACTCAAATTTCAAATAGAGTACCATGTAGACAAATATGTAACCAATTATTATCACATATTTACAACTTATGCCACAAAACCCTAATTATGTCAATAAATATTATTACTCACCCTAATTATGATTTGTGACATCCCACATCGCCCAGGGAAGTGATCCTTAAATGTATATTCTCATTCCTACCTAGCACGAGGCCTTTTGGGAGCTCACTGGCTTCGGGTTCCATGGGAACTCCGAAGTTAAGCGAGTAGCGCACGAGAGCACTCCCAGGATGGGTGACCCATCGGGAAGTTCTCGTGTGAGTTCCCAGAAACAAAACCGTGAGGGCGTGGTCGGGGCCCAAAGCGGACAATATCGTGCTACGGTGGTGGAGCGGGCCCGGGAAGTCGTCCCACCCGGGCTGGGATGTGACATTGGTATCAGAGCCTATCCCTGGCCGGAAATGTGCCGACGAGGACGTCGGGCCCCTAAGGGGGGGTGGATTGTGACATCCCACATCGCCCAGGGAAGTGATCCTTAAATGTATATTCTCATTCCTACCTAGCACGAGGCCTTTTGGGAGCTCACTGGCTTCGGGTTCCATGGGAACTCCGAAGTTAAGCGAGTAGCGCACGAGAGCACTCCCAGGATGGGTGACCCATCAGGAAGTTCTCGTGTGAGTTCCCAGAAACAAAACCGTGAGGGCGTGGTCGGGGCCCAAAGCGGACAATATCGTGCTACGGTGGTGGAGCGGGTCCGGGAAGTCGTCCCACCCGGGCTGGGATGTGACATGATTAGCAATTAACCCCATATGGAAATTTTCCCTCTCTTGTATGATAAATATTAGGAACATATATATATATATATATATATTAATTTAGCCATGTTCATAAATAATTATGGGCACATTTTTCGTATGGAAAAAAAAAATCCTTTGTACAATTAGTTATTTTGCATCAAATAATAACATTTTTTGATAAAAACAACAAAGAACCAATTAATATTCTTTTATGTTGTAGTAAATTATTTTACCTAGATTATTACATACATTACGCATTTTTTATTTGTTATCATATATGCTTGTTAAAAATAATTTATCTATATTTATATGTCAAATATAAGTAAATTAATTTTGAATCAAATAACATTTATTTTGTAGGTAAATTAAAATAGTAGTTCCATTATTTTGGTAAAGTTAAATAGTGCCTAAATTATTTCGTAAAAATTAAACCAAGACAAATTATCTCCATTAAAATAAAACAATAGATATTCGACAAAAATAAAAATAAAACAGTAGAAACATTATTTTCTTATAAGATTAAACAATGGGTAAACTATATTGTATGTACATTATGTTTATAATATTAAAAAAGAAATTGAAATCCATAAACAAAAAGTAGTAGATATATTATTTTTTAATCAAATTTCCTTTATTTGTAGGTGAATTATTTCCATGCATTATTATATATATTGGGCACATTTTACAACTAATATATATGTGCAATAATTTACCTATATTATTATATAAAATATAGATAAATTTATTTTGAATCAAATAATATTTTTTATTTTATAAGTAAGTTATTTTGCATGTATCAGGTCCGGCCCTGACCCAATGCTAAGTTCAGGATCCAAAATTGCTGAGGGCACCCAATTTTATTTTTAGACATACGAGTACATTAAAAATTAAAAAATTAAAAAAAAATAAAATGCAACAGTGCCCGCCGTCCTGCGTCTTCGAATCTTCACCATCGACGCTTCGGTCTCTCCGTCTTCCAAGTTCCAAGCCTTTCTCTTCGTCTTCATAAGTTCTTTGCGACCACACTACAGGCTAAGGCTGCATGGTCCACCCACACCCAGAGGGTTGGTTGCAGGAGTACCAGAAGTGGCATAAAACTGGTACGGAAAAATCCATTAATCCCCCGCAGATATGGCGGAGAGCTGAAGTTGACTGGGTCAAGTGTACTTTCGACGGAGCGCGGATCCAGCAAGGTTCGAGGGGAGGCTTTGGTGCTGATATGCGAGATCATAGGGGAGTTTTCATTGCTGCAGCTGCGAGTTAGATTGGTTGGACATGTTCCGCGTTCCATGCTGAACTTTTTCCTGCTCGTCAGGCTGTGTTGCTGGCCCAAGCGTTTTGCCCTGTTGGTAAAAGGATGATTTTTGAAGGTGACTCTAGCCTGGTTTTGGCTGCCATGAAGGATCAGGAGGAGGATTGTTCACTTTTGGGGCCTATCCTTAATGATCCGCGTTTTTTCCTCAGTCGTTGGTGAACTATGTGCAACGGGGAGGTAATTCGGCTGCGCACAGGCTTGCTCGAGTGGGAGTTGGAAGTAATGAACACTTCTTGTGGTTTGAAGACCCTCTGATTTGCTTAGGGATATTTTATTCGAAGAAAGCTCGTAAATTGTTATGTTTTGTTATGTATTGTCATTTGAGGACAATTCTTTCTGTTGTACAAAACGCTCTTTTCTCTTCGATTAAGTTGAAAACCTCAATAAGATTTTATCGAGGCCCATCATGTACACTATCCTCAGTTTGTATATGTTCTATTTCAATGCAATGAATAACATATTTTCCCTCAAAAAAAAAAAGAAAAGAAAGTACAGTGTATTAAATAAGTAGGTATAGTCAACAATACGTAGGGTGTGAATAAAACAATCATTAGATTTGTTTGAACTTCCCTGGCTTGGAACCCGTCGGCCTCTCGCACCTCTGCCTATGTCCTTCTACATTGCTTTGCCATTTAGCATATCTTGTCGCACTTATTTTTGTCCCCTTTTTACTATAGTTGTTCGTGACAAACTAATGAAAACAACAATAACTCTTCATGGACAAATTGTAGAGAAAGACAACGGGCACACAAAAGAAACACACGAGCATGAAATAAAAATGTTAATTTGACTTCAATTCTTTTGCTCTTATTTTTTCCTCTAATAACAGTACAAGTTTAATTTCTTTTTCTTTTTAGTACAAAATGTTAATGTGGATGATAGAAGTTGATTACATGGGTAAGAGAGGATAAGTA